AGGGAAAGTCAGGTAATAGTAGTTACTAACAAAGGAAGTTGATTCTTTCATATCATATCTACCAGGACATCATGCAGTTCTAGAATCATGATGCCAACACAAGAACCAACCAAATAGCCTGTGAAATAGCTAAGCATTACTTGGAAGTTTTAAAGATCTAATTTACCAAAGAGCAGATTGAAGGCAATGATAAATGCATACTTTACATCATGTTTTATATGATAGGCTATAGGCTCAGTTAAAAGTACATTTGAAGAAAATTATAGATTTAATATAGTTCTAGATCTGGTGCTCTTCACAGAAAAAATCACTTCTGCTCTGATTATATTCAAATGCTAATGCTTATAAACATTTTGATACAGGTGTTCAAAGCTGAATCACTGGTTCTTCAGTCAAAATGTATTTTCCACTTTACTCAACATTGTAAGACTACTGACTTTAATTTCTTCTAATTAGGTGGGGAAAAAAGTACATTAGGTGTTAGTGTGCTTTGGCACTTCTCTTTAATACTTGCTAAACTTCTTTTAGATTACCAAAGTTCACAACAATGGATGGAATAGGAGAAAAGCTGAGGCTAGAGGAAGTGTGTGGGGGTGGGTGGGGGGGGTTGGGGACTGGCAAGGATGACTGAAGGGACTTAAGAAACTTCTAGATTATAGAAGTTGTTAGCAATTATTAATGATGAATACCTGAGGAGCACAAACAAATTTAATACTAACATTTATATTCTCATAATATCCTGAAAAACACAGATTTAAAATTTTCATCCATCCATTCTTTCATTCATTCATTCATAAAACCATTCCACAAAAATTTACAGAGCATCTACTATTTATAAGGCATTCAACAAGGATTGTAGGTAAAAATGACTATAACAACAACAATAATTATTTCAAGATTATTTCAAAGTGACTCAAAGTCTCATTATTTCCCAAAAGTTTTTTATAAATTGGAGATTCTCTGTACTTGATTTCTTAATATGTGAAATACAATCACATATTAATGTTTTAAAAAATTAGTTACAAATATAATTGTTTTGTGAATACTAAATAGCCATATTGAAATGTTTCTATTCATTTTCACACTAATTTTATGCTAGAAAACCACAAGAATGCCAAGAATTTTGCATTTGATATAATGCAGAGTAACTGATGTTCTGAAAATAATGGTTTTTTGAGAAAAATGAGAAACAAATTTTAAACTTCTAGACTTTATGCAAAATAGACCTTTCAATGTCTTTCTAAGCAGAAACTTATAGTCCACAATAAGCATGTGAAATAAAAGTTTGAAACATTTAACAAAAATCAATTTATTTATACACACATTGTTGAAAACAATGTTTCTGAGATTGTACCAGGCCTCAAGATGCCTTCCCTTTGAAAAGAAGGCAAACACAAATTCATGAAATGGAGCTGAACTAAAGACACCATGACAACCTAGCATTTTGGAAATGTGTGGTAGGAAAAGCAAGGAACTGGAATTAAATGACTTCTAAAGCCACTTCAGAGACTTATTTCTGAGAAGCAAAGTGTTCCATATACCTTCATATACTTCCTCAAAATTTACCATGCTAGACTTTAAAAATAATCCTATAAGAATAAAATGAAAGCAAACATCTGATTTCATGGTTGAAGAGTAGATAATAGTTTTAGAATAAAATCCAAGTTCATTATCTAAGGGCATAAACTTTAAATTATATTCTAGAGTTATGCTTAGCACTAATAACAGGGCAATTTTTGAGTAAGTTATATGAGCTATAATGCTTTAGTTCTCTTGTTTAGAAAATGCAGAGAGTAATTGGTATGAAGCGATTAGGCTGCTACTGTATTATGCCTTCTATATGCATTATCTCATTAAAATTTAAGAATAATCTCCTGAGGTAGGTGCTATTTTTTCCCATCTCACAGTTGAGGAAACCAAGTGAGCAAAGTGCTTACAGTCAAACAAGTGAGGGGTAGAATTCAAATTGAGCCTCTTCAGACTCCCAAGTTCATTTTCAGAACCACATACATGCAAGGATCTGCACAGAAATTTTGTCACAGAGAAGCAAATTTGCCTTTTATCTTCCCAAGCTAGATCTTTTGATATTCAGAATATATATACAGAATATACAACAGAATTAAAATACAGTAACCCTTTACATAAAAAACTTGAAAATGATGATTTAAAATACACACACACAGTTAAAATCACAGCAGAAAGTCTCAGACTGTTATCAAGATATGGCAATAACAAATACACTTTTACTCCACAGACTTTTATAAGTTTTTGACCCTAACCTATTTGTTTTAAGTTGAGGTTTTTGTATGTAGACATTGAGAAGACCCATAGCAAAATGGCAATGAGAATACACTAATGGCAATTGCTTTGAAAAATGTCAATGTAATTTACTCTGGAAAAACACCCAGCTGAAACTGTGGAATAAGATGAACAGCCTCTATTAATGCTAATTGAAATTCTCATACCCACACATAGCATGCAAAAAATTTACTTCTACACTTATTCTTTCCACTTCTAAACTGCAATACATCCAGGCCAAAGTACTAGCTTTTTAATTTAAGCATTGGTATGTGCAAACTGATATTTTTTTTTGGTGATTATATTGACAAACTTAATACAGGTGAAACCCCATTCTCAGTAATACAGTCCAGGTCTTAACTGTGGTGGTTCAAATTGTCTAAAGTGAATCTTGAGGCTTTGAAATTCAAATAAAATCTGAAATTTATCATTTCTCAATGTTTGTCACTTCCATAACATCTTTTGACAAACACAGGCATAACAACATATGGACATGATGTCCCATAATTTAACTCCTTGTACAAACAAATAAGTAAAACTAAATGAGTGTTATCTCTATATATACCTAGAGGGATAATATATATGACTATATAGTCATATATTTATTGATGCATGCCAGAAACATTTTTTTGGTAAGTTTCTATATATTTGTAAAATATGGAGAGAAGAATTTGCTTTTATTTATCAAATTGAAATCTGGACTGTGAATGAATTTTAACTTATGTGTTATTCTGAATAAAATAATATATGATCTTTAAAGTAAATAAAGTCTAAAACATATTATTGCCCCTTTCATGTATAACTACAAAACATGGTAAGTTTTAATTTCTTCTGAGGCCATTAGAAATTTCTTCATGCGCCAACTGAGTAAAAAAAACTGAAACTATTTATCAATAGATTTTTCACTGTTAAAACATAAATTTTGATTTAAGAATATCACATCTATGGAAGAATTGTCTCCCAGAATACTCCAAATCCTAAGCTCTTGTTCAGGTTCTCAATTGCAGAGTGCACTGGGTTTAAACACCTTACCTGTACAGTGGTGAAGCAGAAAATGCAGCTGTTTAGATTTTTTGAAGACTGGGAAGGAGCTGTTTTGTTGCTGTTGCATACTTAGGCTTTTCCTTCCATGAAAGGCAATTCAACATATCATCAGCATTACTGATTATGGAAAGAAGTGCTGTCACTCTGAATGAAGCCTCTTAGGGATTAAACAAAATGTCACCTAATTTCTCATTCTGCCTGAAGAAGAGGTGGAAAGCCATTCATTTTTTCAGTCATCTATTCAACAAGTAGTTATTCAGCCTCACTTGTATATATGTAGTATATTATACTAGTATCTGATAAGACAGAAATAATGGATAAATACATTAGAAGAATGTAGGTTGGATGCTGTGATCATGTCTGTAATCCAAGCTACTTAGGACTCCAAGGATCATGGTTGGAGGCCAGGTGTGCAAAAATGTAGATACATCTCAACAAATAAATTGAGTGTGGTGGTAAAGTGACTGCTTAGCAAGCATGAGGCCCTGACTGCATGCGCACACACACACACACATGCGTGCAAATGTACAAGGCAAAGTCATTGGCCATATGAACTTAAAATTTAGTTCTGCAAGAATGTGTACATAACGGACTAAAGTAGAAAGCAGAATGACATACTAGTAAAAGGAAGGCAAAAATGCAGAAAATAAGAAATATTGAGACCTAAACTCTCAATGATAAAACATAATTTAATTTTTGAATTGCTATGCTACTATCAATTTCAGACACCTGTATCTGAATTTTCTACAGTATCTTGGAGAACGTTATTATGGATTGTTAGAAAATTTGACTTTTAAATTAAGATAATCCTACTCAGCTATTTCAAGCTTATTCAAACTGTTTTCTGCATTGTCTTTTCTTACAAAAATTGTGAATTTTTTGATGCCTTATATGGAGGTTTTAACAGGGAAGCATAGCTACTCGAGTGCCCTCGACCCACAAATGGCTTCTTTTATCAGGGATGTTTGTCCTGTTCCACCAAGCACACAGCTTCGGGATGGACACAGATGGAGCAGTGAGGGAAGGGGACACCCACCTAGCCAGCCAGATCAGCCGAATTAACCCTGGTGATCAATGGGATGACAGACATTGCAGCCAGATCGCCCTCACATGCACATTGTGAATTTTTTGTACTTATCAGTTATGAACATTTTCCCCTATGTATCATGTAGGTTCACTCAGACATGTACACTCAAACTGACAATATTCTTCAGTATGGGTGGTCATATATGATGCTTTCTGTGAGGTAACAATATTGGTGCATTATTCCTGCAGCTTTGTATCAAGCTAATCCTTTGACATATTCCAAGTAGAGAACACTTTGGAGAGCATTTCACAATTAATTTAAAAGAATGACACTCAATCTTAGTAAAGGTTTTGTGTACTTCACTAAACAAAGAAACCAATAATGACAAACGTCTTTCAAAGAAGAAGGGGTAGTTTGGAGGCAGGCCATGTGAGAGGGCAAAGTGTCACTCTATCGCAGTTACACACTTTTAGAGTGAAAAGTGATTACAATTAACTTTTCTGAGGTGGCAAGACAATGAAAAAGTTTTAGGTACACAGGCCAGAAGACTACAAAGGAAGTCTAATCACAACACACAACTATCTTTTTGAGAACAATCTTCCCCTAGAATACCATCAAAAGTCAAACTTACCTGATCTACTGTCCAGAGGTCCAAAATCCAAAGAATATTTCACAACATGATAGTTATTCCATACATAAAGTAGGTTGTCTCTGGGGTTGTAATCCACAGCTGCTATGTATTGATAAGAATTGGGAAAGGGAACATCCACCAAGCTATCCTTGCTTTGGTCGGTGTTGTAAATATAGTCAATCTTGTTCCCAGTGGCCTCATTGTCATCATCCTCATATACAGATTTGACCACATACAGAATCCCACAGATCATAAATGCATTGGAAGCTGACCTTTTATCATATGCAGTATCCCACGTCCCTTCAATCCGGAGGGTGTAAGGGTTCAATTGACTAATGACAATTTTACCATTGTTTTGTTCCGTTGCATAGATTACCCATAGCCCATTTTCATCCACTGCCAGGTCAATGTCAGATTTGCCTCCCCACCGGTAAGGGGAGGTATCATGGTAGTTGGCATTTGCTATGATAGCCTCTCCACTCTTTATCCTAGTCCGCAAATCAAACTTTACTATGTTCCTGGTCCGTTCTTTGTTGAAGAACAAAGCTCCATCATACACTACAAATCCAGTACCATCCACCCTGTGAGGGAGCTTGTAGGTAGTAGTCGGCCTTCCAGCAATGAAGTCATCTTTGGATGAATACTCAGTCAGCGTGTCAGTTCTGTAGGGGGTCCAGGGCATATAATAAATCTTGTCTGAAGCCTGCAGAGGGTCTTTACACCATGCCCCAGATTGGTGGTCAGATTCAAACAAATGTTCACTCTGATACACTCCTTTTAGTAGTCCAGGACAAAGAAAAACTGTTGGAAGGGAAAAAGTTAAAGTAATAAATATATTAATTCATATTTTCTCACATACTCTTATTTTTCACCAAACAAAATGCAACTCTAACAAGACATACCCACCACCACTTGTTTTGCTGGGATTTTTTTGAGAACACAGTATTTCTCCACATTAATCTTGCCTTTTTTCAAAATCATTTTGATTTCACTTGCTGAAAAATTTGGCTTTTTATGCATAACTATGCTTTCTTATGGTTTTCACCATTGTAAAACATGTGTTATAATATTTTTCATATATGTGTCTGGTGCAATGTATGTCTATGTATTCTATAGACATTGAATAAATACAAGAGTTTATACACAGTATTTTTATTAGTTCATTGAAGAACATATCTTATTTGGAAATGGAAATATATTGTTTCCACTCTGGTGAAATTAGCTGTGCAATAGTTATCATTAAGAAACAGATGGATATCCCACATTATCTTTTTTAAAACAAAGCAAAAGAAAAGCCCTGTAATACAGGCCATTGACCTTCTTCTAGCAAAAAGATTCTTGAAGCTGCTACAACACACACAGAGCATGCAACCCACACGATTAAAAATGAGTGATGGATGAATACTGGAAGGAAAAAGAGAAAGGGAGAGAAAGAAAGGAAAGAAGGAAGAGAAAAGAAGAAAAGGTGAAAGGTTACAGAAAAGAACCCAAGATCTAGATTTTAATCAGTTAAAAATGTCCTGTTAAATACAGTAGTATTGGAACTTAAAAACATGTACCATTTACTGTTACATGAGAAAAGCATTAAAAAACAAGATTACTTGCTATATTTTGCTGCTCATACTTCAGAATGACAATGGGTAGGATTTGCCTGCTGTTTAGTATAATTCAGTAGCATATGTGAGAGTGGTAGAAAGAAAGTTTGGCAGACTCAACTGTAATGAAGGGGCTAAAAAGCAATGTTTCCCAAAGGATGGTCCTTGAAGCACCTGTTGCAAGTGGTGTAGCTGGAAGTTACATTGAAGGAAAAAAGACATCCTTAGCCATATTTGTTTGAGAAATATTATGTTAAATATAAATGTGATAGAGATTCTAATAGCTTAAGTACATTAGTGCCTCTCCAAAGCTGAAGTTGGGAGAGTAAGCAAACTTCACAAATTAATTTGATTATGGAAGCTTTTGGATTGTAACGTTCTGCTGAACCTGCTATGGGAAACATTGCTCTCATACATTTGCAAAATGAACACACTAAAAAAAAATAACCATGCAGTCTACTGTTATTATCTGAAATGACTAGAAGTATCCTAGATGGAAAAATTAGGAAATCACAAAGAATTTGAATGGTAACCTATTTTTAATGACTAAAGGATTATTCTTTGGCATTAATGATTAGATTTTTAATAGCAATTATAAGAATAGAGCTAATGGAAGACAACTTAAGATGAAGTTCATATATATGTTAGTGATTATTGAAAAGGAAAGTACATTACTATAACATACAAAGTTAATTTTGAAGAAATGCAAAGTTTTTGGGGAAAAGCTGGCTTCCAAAATCTTCCATAGCAAGGAGATGGGAGCATTTTCAATTTATAATCTAGATTAATATTGATAACTATAAGAATTTCTCAAGATTTTTAACATTATTGCTTTCATTATAAAGAATAGGTATCCTTTGTATGTAAATTGTATATAACCTTCATGTTAAAGTGAGTAATAAGCCCTTGGTTACTAAAATAATTTAGCGTATTTCAGAAAACAATTTTCCTTTTCCCTCAGTAGTTAAAAAATTAGAGGGGAAACCATACCAGAAATAAGGAGACTAGTACAGAAATAGAGACAAATCTAAAGCAATCATTATTCTTCACAGCTATTGGACAACTAACTGCTTATTTAAAAATAAAAAAGGATAAAATATACATTGATGATTTTACAATCCTAAACTGTGTTAGGATAGAAGATCAAACCAGCACTGATCAGTATAACAGATTAAAGTGAAGTTGAGCAGCAGAAGCAGTAAATAAACTTCCATAAAATAGATAAGAATTAATAGCAAAATTATTTTAACTAAATGTTAAACTGTTAAATAACTTAGCCTATAAATAATATATAATTTATGAAAGGTATTTAATTACCTTTTTGTTCCACTTCTATTGGAGAGAGAGAAGTAAAGAGAGAAAGGAGAAAAGAGAATAGATTAATGGTACGGTATTGGCTAAGCACTTTTTATTCACCTCTTCCAAACTGAAATTAAATAATTTATTTCACTCATACTTGCTTCATTGAATATTATTTTTTTTAAAAAAAACAATTTAAAAAATTGACATCAACTTTAAAACATGGTAGAAACTTGGAAAAAGTAAGGTCAAAATTAATCAAGCTAATGTTGAGTAAACATACATTCCAAACTTTAAATACAGGAAATGCAATATTCGTAATAAGAATACCAGTAGCTCCATTTGAATGGGAGTTCAGCAAGTAAACACACAGAGAGCTTTCAAACAACTTGGTTAGTTTCACTTACAAATATTATGGCTTATACCACTATTTAACATAATAATCTTTATTTTTAGCAGCTCACAGAATGGATCTCTTCAGAAGAAAAGACTCTGCAACTCATTTCCTAAGACTTTGCACTTTGCATAGCTTGTCAGTCTTATGAGAAAAGCACTTTATGATGCCACACTTTGATGGGGAAGGACCTAACCCTGAGTAAATGTACTTCGAACCCGTACTGAACAAACATCTTTTCCACTCATCTATATTTGACATTATTGTGGAAAAATGCTGTCTTTCAGAAAAATCTTTAATCAGAGGATTGATGTAAACAATGAGCCTTTGGCTCTGGCCTTTTCCGAAATTCTTAACAGAGTCAGCATACACTTGTACAAATAAGAGATTATCAAACACGCTCTGCTTATGTCTGTCTCAAATTCCATTATTATTGTTAAGGTACTGATCATTGAATCAGTGACAATTCTTGGAAGATGCACTATATTCATGAAACTCATAAGGTGACACCTTTATTATGTTATAAATGTGTCTCATTAGTCATAATTTGCTTACATCCTAATGAGATGAAAGAGACAAGAAGGAAAAGGCAAAGATTTTGGAGGAGAATGGGTTCATAATATAAACATAAGAAATCATAAATTACGAATGATGTAAAAGTAAAGCCACTTTAGTGGAAGGGGTGAACTGATACATAATGCACAGAAAATAAATTGAAAACTCCAGAAAAGCTTAAAAAACAAGCGAAAATTCTGTTTTGGTTAATTACATTTGGGTGAGATTTTTGTGCTTTGACATAAATTCATATGTAGTTAATTCCTGTCAAATCCTTACTTATTTCTATCCGTTTTTCTTAAAAAACATCAATATAATACATGAGAATATAAAGTAGTATACACAAAAATTATGCTTAAAAACTTACATTTAATTAAATTAAAAATCTTATTTTTTACAATTCTTCTAGAACTCTTTTTTTAAAGAACTTTCTTGTATTGCCATAATTTGCCACCATTCCCATTTACTCTTTATTGAATTCAGGGTTCACTGGGCTGTATCACTCAGCATAGGTCAGTCAAAAGCTTTATCCAGGAGAAGCCGGGATAGAAGGACACAGGGTGAGGATGGGGGATCCTGGTAATGTGAAAAGATCTCAGGGCTTCCTCAGTGTTGGGATCAGGAGATAGGCCTGGAAGAATCTTCTACAATATTGGAGTCAAGAACAAGAAAAACAAGGCATTTGGGGACATCTTTGGGCTTCCAGAGCCAAACCCTGTGAGGTCAAAGCTGCTGGGGAAACCAGAAGCAAGCAGCCTGCGGCCAGGCTGCTCCCACCATGACTGCCAGCTCCCTGGATCCCAGAGTCAAGCAAGTCTTGTAGTTTTGCTTACTTTGCAAATTGGTTAGATAATTCAACTTGGAGAAGGCTAATTTCTGCTGTAGATCAGCAGGCTACTATTATGGCCAATTTCAAAAGATCAAAATTATATGCTGTTTTATTCTGCTTTTTCATACAAAGACTTTATCCAAAAGATGCACTTTTTTACTTTAACTAGAATACTAAGCTGTATTCAGTCTGACAACCAGAATAAAGATAACTAGCACCTTAAAAATTATTTAATCAAGTTTCAAAAGTTTGAACTCGAGGCCAGTTACAAGAAAGGTTGAGGTTGGGAATATGAGGTCATACTAAAGTTGACATTTTTCAAATATGAACCCCTGAAGTGTTTTCAACTAATTTGGTTCCCAGAAATAGTTCTCTCTCCATGTCCTTTTGATAAGTACCTATGGAAGTCTATATATTCTAAAACATGCAATGTACATCCAAGTTTTGTTCTTCAGGGCAAATATCCTAACTATTTATCAATGATGGTTTTTCGACAAATACTTAAGGATGAAGATCTATATGAGAGAAAGTAGTGACTGTGAATCAATGATATTCTGTAAATATTATCTTCCACTTTAATGGAATTTTCATTTTACAAATATCTTTCATTTCTATTATGTCAACTGTGTTTTGGTAACATGTTGGTTTTAATGTCTGGTCTTGGTCTAACTTCCAAGAAATTGGCACAAGCTCTAGCATAAGCAAAGCTTTTCTCTGTTACTGGTTACTCACAGTTAAGATTTATTAGGCAGCTCTGCTTTAGAGAAAATTATTATGGTCTTGCCCATGTCATGACTGGCTGTAGCTCATTCATCATTTCTTTGCTATTTTCAAGACTGAAGTAAAACAGTCCTATAATTTAAGTTGAAACAAGCATACACAAATCATATTTCCATAGCAAAAACTGGCAAGACAATATAATTTGTCATTGAAAAGCTCAGTAACATTTAGAAATGGCCAGTCAATGCCTGTCTTCTAATTCTGATGCTAGAAACTTCCCTTCTATATATAAAAAACAAGAACATCACTATATTCTACACAAACGCACAGTGCCTAGCACATAATAAATATCCAATGTATACCCTTGAATTAAATACATAATCCAAATAATGGTGAACAGCTTTGTTCCTTGATATTTTAAGTATGTTATAAAAAGAAAAAAATGGTGAAGCAGAGTGTGATGTATTATGTAAAATCATAAGTGCAATACACCAAGTATACAATTATCTTCTAATATTTTAAAGAGTGGGGATGAAAGAAAATTTATGAGAAATTTGTACTATTGACTCATTAAATGTAAAACAGGAGAAAAACAAAAATTAAGAAGAGTGGGCACCAGTGGCTCACGCCTGTAATCCTTGCCACTCAGGAGGCAGCAAACTGGAGGGTCACGGTTCAAAGCCAGCCCAGGCAAATAGTTCACAAGATCCTATCTCAAAAAAAAACCCTTCAAAAAAGAAGGGCTTATGGAGCAGTTCAAAGTTTAGGTCCATAGTTCAACCCCCAGTACTATAAAAGAGAAAACAATTCAGAAGAAAAAGTCATACAGATGAGTATAATTTGTGAATCATACCGACAAAATTTTGTTGCTATAAAAACAGACTGCAAAGATCTAAAACCATAGGGTTAACATACTCCCTTCTTTCCTTTGTGTAATGAGATCATAAATAAATGAATTGCATGATGACGACTGTGCTGGAGACTCATTCAGAATCTCCTGTCTTTTAGCTGGTCCAATATGCTGAATTCTGACATTATAGCTGTCATTGTTCATTTCCAAACCTCTTTTCAACTAGTTTCTCTCCTTTTCTCTCTTACTTTTAATCCTCAAAGTATTTTTATTGTCCATTCAGCCTCTGTAAATACATTTATATATTTCCTTAAAGTGATTTCATCATGGTCCTTTGTCAAACTTAACGTCATAAGGTATATCTTGTGGTTAGAGTAAACGACAAATTCAAACGAAGGGTAATTTTATTCAGTATAAAAGAAACTGGGAAAAGGAGACTAGTAAATTTTCCTTTCAATCTGCAACAGTTCATAAAATAGATATAATATACAGCTGTGTTGCTGCTTAGAAAACTAAGATGTTACCATTTCTAACCATTTTTGCACCATATGCAATACTTTTGATTGCATTCTTTAATCAGAAAAGGTATGGATCAGAGAGCATGTGCAGGCATTGCCAAGCTATTTCAAACTGCATTGAAAATTACATAAAAATAAATTTCTTGCACGCAAAAATTGTTAGTGCCATAATTAAGAACTATGAAATTGTATCTAATTCTGATGCTATTTAAACTTTCTTTTCTTTTAAACTGTAAGTCATATATCATATTTTCTATCTACAATGGAAATGTTCCAAATGAGTACAATGTTATAATCTAATAATGCTTCTATATTTCTGTAATATGCCAATAGAAAGGCACTTAAGGGGACAGACAATGGCTATAAAATATTAAATAATTTATAAGCAAATATTTCTTCATTGAAATGTAGTGGTGTTTTAAGCAGAATTATTTTCTTAGTTCCATTTGGCTTAAAATATTAAAATATGTTTGGGTATCCTTATTACATGCTAACTGAGAAGTGAGGGAAGTGGTACAAAGGTAAACTAAAGAAGTAATAAAAGGATCAGTTTTAGATTAAAAATTGCTGGTATATCATCCATAAAGAAAGTCATCTATAACTACATAATCAAAGGTTCACAGTAATATTTTATATTTGAATAGCACATTACAATTTAACAAATCAAATGAATCACCTGATTTAATTTTTTAAACAATATTGTGATGTGGTATTTATTAGTCCCATCAAAGAAGAGCTAACAAAGCTGAAAATGTTGAACACCAAGGTCAACACTGGTAGGTGGCATAAACCCATTACTTGTCCATTATTACACACTGTCTCTAACCACCTGGAGACAATGAAACACATTTTTATCGTGCTCTTGCTCTCCATTTCCTCTGCCACCAAGTTCACGAACGAGCACTCTCAACAGGAGGTAAGTGGAATATCCCTGAGGGTAGGCACTGTATCTCTTATAATACTCACTAATTAAGCTCTGGAGTTTTGCACAGATGCTAATAACATTTAAACATCACTGTTTTTTAAAACTGTTTATACATTTTTTCATATGTGCATACATTGTTTGGGTCTTCTACCTGTTCACCTCCCCTATCTCCCTCCTACCACCCCCCCCAATACCCATCCCTGCTTCCAAGCAGAACCTGTTCTGCCCTCTTCTCCAATTTT